TAAAATAAATAAATAAATAAAATCACCATTCTAGTCGATTTTGTAATAGCTTTGTACTATATATAGTATCAACTTTGTTAACTCTCAAGACTTCCCCCCCGCTATGTATTAAATATGGATCATGATTCATATGTTTATATTAATGTATAAGATTAATATATTATACATACATAATATATATGTATGTGTGTGTTTGTGTATGTATGTACATGTATATGTATACGTGTGTGTGTGTAAAAACACAGACACTTTTGAAAGCGGGCATCTGAATTTCATTTTTTAATGTGTGCCAGTATGTTCACAGAAAAAAGTGAAAATAAAGCTTATTTCATCTCATCTCATCTTCTAAAAAATGAACAGCTAAATATTACCAAACTAGGTAACATCGTCAGTGCTACTGGTAGAAGGGAGTGAGGTTTGTGAAATGTAGTAGTAAAACTATGATAATAACTGCAGGATTCTTGGTGCACTCTGACTCTGGTTATTTTCTTGCAGGCGTTTCATGATCTAACTAAGTAACATCATCAGTGCTAGAAGGGAGTGGGATTTGGCACAGGTATTTAGTGTATCACCTAGTACTGATGATGTTACCTAGTTTGGTAGTGAAATGTCTGCCAGAATACCACCAAACTCAGAAAGCACCAAGGACACTGTAATATTACATTATTGGTGTACCTTCAGGATATAGTAAAAAAATTACAATAAAAGCTGTACTTGATCTTTTTTATGGCCCTATCATGGCCACCATCTTTTTTTTTTAACTACACCCTCTGAAGCAATATATACCACCCACTGATTTATCTACAAATAAACAATATTCAACATAACAACACTAAAAAATATGGAATACTGACCAAAGCAATGTAAGGCTTCATTTCCCAAGCCTGCGTGTTTGTATTGTCTATGATTATAGGAGTGATCCTTTTCTCAAAGGCATCTTTGGCTGACAAATAAATCGAGGGAAAAAAACTAATTGTTAACTCACGAACAATTTCTATTATCATTACTTAATGGAAAATAAAAGATGTATGATGTTCTTCTTTGATAATCTGTTTTGAATTCTCCAGTTTCTCTGTTTTTAAAGTAACTGCAGTAACTATAGATACTGAACTAAACTCTAGGACATTTAAAAAGGAACTCTAGATCCCTCTAACAACACTTCTTTTATCAATTTCATAAATTTACATAAAGGTAAAGGTTCCCCTCGCACATATGTGCTAGTCGTTCCCGACTCTAGGGGGCGGTGCTCATCTCCGTTTCAAAGCTGAAGAGCCAGCGCTGCCCAAAGACGTCTCTGTGGCCATGTGGCCGGCATGACTAAATGCCGAAGGCGCACGGGACACTGTTACCTTCCCACCAAAGGTGGTCCTTATTTTTCTACTTGCATTTTGTACGTGCTTTCGAACTGGTAGGTTGGCAGAAGTACGGGAGCTCACTCCATTACGTGACAAGCTCAGCGCCTTAGCCACCGCATCCCCTTCTTAAATTTATAGTCTGCCTATCTCATATACATGTAAAACCAGCACAAATGGCACAAAGGACTCCCAGCCAATACAAGTCATAAACTGGACTTGATGGCAAGCCAGGTTTTCTGTGCCTTGGAAAAGGCCAGCTGGGTTAGGGCAAGTCTAATTTGGGAAAGGTTGTGGAATAATGTTCCGGAAGGCTGGTACCATGGGGGGCAAAAAAAGACTATAAATTTAAGAAGGGGATGCGGTGGCTCAGTGGCTAAGGCGCTGAGCTTGTCACGTAATGGAGTGAGCTCCCGTACTTCTGCCAACCTACCAGTTCGAAAGCACGTACAAAATGCAAGTAGAAAAATAAGGACCACCTTTGGTGGGAAGGTAACAGTGTCCCGTGCGCCTTCGGCATTTAGTCAT